AAAAATATAAGAGCGCAGAGGACACTTTTCGTAGCCAGTAGGTAGGTATGGTAATCGTAGTAGATAGGGTGTATCGATACTGTAAACCGTGAGTGAGGAGGGGTTGCATGCAGGGCGAAGCATGGTAAAGGTGCGGTAGCACGTTACGGTAACGCTGAACATATTCTATCAGTTTGATAGCTCTCGGTGGGACACTCGATGGCGGATGAAAGCTAGGAGGGACGCGTTGATATCTAATATCGGGCGCGCGCCTTTACGCCGTTGGTATCGGTTTATGTTGCCCCGGGTAATCTTCACCATCCCACGCCGGGCTTAAACTTTTCACGTAAGTGGAGCGGTGACTGGTAAATAAAACCGTGAAAAGTCGCCATCGGAGGTCGCATCGCCTCGTAGCCATCTCCTGGGTCTACATACTGTCGCTACTTCCTTTTTTTTATCCTAACTTGTAAGCTTATTCCGTGGTAAAGAGGAATAATCGCACGGAAAACGTGAATCGTCATTTTAATTAAGTATAATCAATATATGGAAATGTCAGAGTTGAAAAATGTTCAGTTGTTTCAAGTATCCACTTCGTCTCGCTAATTTTGTTTTATATTCCGGGGTCGTAGGTTATTTGATCATTACAAGGAGGGATCACGGCGCAGGATGGGCTGAGGAACACGAATTTAGGGTGGATGAGAAACGGAAACGAATCCGGTGTATAAGAGAAGGGGCAGTCTGTCCTGAGTGCACGAAATAAAATGTAAATGTGCGGCAATTCGCGGTCAATATCGGGAGTTGGCTAGGCGGAGGTAAGTATCACTTGCGTTTCCGTTCATTCGTCGGCGGCTAACGCTGAATACAGTCGTTCCAGAAATATCGTACCGTGCAAAATCAGTACTTTAATTCGTTTGCAAGAAACATTTAATTTATTATAAGTACAGATTCATTTTTTTTAAATATTAATAAAAAGCATGCATTGTGCGCATCTAGCTTTAATTAAATTTAAAAACGATAGACTTATGATTAGATATTCAAATGAAGGAAGGAACACAGACGTGTTTAACACAAGTAAAAAATGACTCTTCACCAGCTATTACCATTTGTTCTAACACTTGTAACTGTCTGAAAAACTAAGTTATGTTTCTGCTGGGACGGTAACGCCTGTTAGAGTTAAAAAGAGATAAAGAGTGCGAGCTGAGAGTATATGTGGAACGGGCCCGCGGGCTACGCGCCGTCATTTGCATGAGTAACGGTGAAACCGGGAGGAGTTAGGGTAGCGAGACGAGTAATTTATAGTCAATAATTCTTGGCGAGGCAATTTTCGCATCGAGCGCGAACGTTTCCTCCGGAACGGAGAAGGAGAAATTGGTGGAGAGAACGACAGGCTGGAGGAGGAAGAAGAACGAGAAGGATGAGGAGAAGGAGGAGGAGAGAGGCGATGCCGCAGAGGCGACAGGAAATGAGGCGGAATGTTAAATAGCAGCCGCGCCGTAGTTTCGTCCTAAGCCTGTCATCTCAGGTACCCTTTAAACTGCACGTGCGAATTATTGACGATGCTACCTACTATAGTTTTTGTTCATCGAATCAGAACTACAACGTTAAGTCACTCGTCTTCTTGGCATAATGTCCAAACGACGAACTGTTCTTGTATGTACAAATTATAGTATTGATAATAAAAAACATCATAATATTCTATATATTTGATAGAAGCAACGATATTACGTATAATACATCCTATGATGTATCGAATAATAGTGAATCTTGAATTTAGATAAAATTATTATCGTACAATCGATTTTGATAAACCATATTATTAAACCCCATGATTGTCGAACAGTGGAAACGAATAAGTAAAACGAGTTACCGAAGCCTCGAGCATTTATTTACATATCGCATGGCACAAATGAAGAGAGAAATCGGCACACGCGACTGCCGGATCAGTGAAATCTCGCCTGAAACCTTTGAAATTTACTCATCCGTGGTTCCTACGATTCTCGTTGAAAGTTCGCCGTTGCGAATGCGTATCAGGAAACGAAAGGCGAAAACAAAGAAATTAAAAACTAGTTAGCTACCCGTGGCGAACGTTTTCAAACGATCACGCGATATCGCCGCGTGCTATCGCCTCCTGTCCCTTCTGTGTGTTGCCAAAACTCGGGTTCGGAACGATTCTTTTCCCGAAACGTTTTCACGGTCACCACGGGCCCGTGCGTGCCGCTGAATTTATTTCACGCTACGCGCGCGTTTCACAATACCTATCAGGAGATCGTTCGACCCGTGGTAATCGATTACCCTGAATGAAACAGGGGAAAAGAGAATATTGTTAGCGGGGTGCATTTGGATCATTCAAACCCGCGGCTAGTGACACGATTCTGTGCGACGGGATAAATAACATCGCTAGTTTACTCCTTGCTGACTCGTTGGCACAGAAAATAATAATAATATTGTTATTATTATTAAAATTCCGGTGATATTTTTATATATATTTTTTATTTCATGTTATAAAACATTTTTGTAATACAATCTACGTAACGTGATAAGAGATATAAAAATACAATAAGGTATCGTTGAAGATAATTCAGTTTATGAATGATCGGGGCGAGGGCAGTAAAATACAGGAGGTGAGGAGATCAAGACTTATGGTTAACAACAAATGCGGCGAACCTCCCCTTCCGCGTTCGCATTCGTGTTTACACGTATTCCGGAGGCCATAAATATACCGGGGGGCACGGTATCGGACACGATACGGTTCCTTTCGCGACGCGGGAAAACTTGACTAATTGCGAAAAACCACCCTGACATCTCTCCGCCTGTTCCTTTCCGACGAGATATATTCTTTGTTGGCCGTCCCTCCCATTGCCGGCCTCTCCCCTCTCGATTTTTCCTCCGCAGTGTGCGACGTACAGTCTGCAACACAAAATCGCGGCACTCGCGAAAGTTGTAACGTGTAAATAATTATGATTTACAAACATGTCTTTCATGTATAAATTGTCAGAATAGAAGAACAAAGATATTTAATAAAATCAAGGAATAAGAAGTCACAGTTCACATCGTTAACAATAATATGTCGCATATCTCTCGCGTCTAATTATAGTTCGAAAACGAAGAATATTTAATAAAAGTTAAAAAACTTCCCTCAGTACGAAAATCCGTTCTGTTACTGAACCTTCTTCTACAACACGAAACACACAGCTTGCAATTATTATTATTATTATTTTTGTAAATCCAAATCGCATTGCTTTAGACTTTTCATTGTTAGATAATAATTATAAGAGCGCGTTGATTTTATATAGAAAGGATCTCGAAAAATGAATTCTCGCGCAAATAGGACGTCTGAGTTTATGACAGAGACTGTACAGTATGTACGACGACGTATCCCGTGGTTTTTCGTCGACCGTTCATCATCCCAAGACTAATCTCTTCTACTTGAGCTCCGCTGACGCGCCGTTTGTCTTCCTTATTGTTGTAACCACAGTGAGAGTCAGAAAAAGAATGAGTATAAACCATACGAAGTTAAAGTTCAAGTAATATTTCTGCAGTAGCCTTGTAAAGTTAAATACGCCGCGCATTCTTTCTCGTTAAACATTTCGTATACAATAAATAAATTGTATTAAATAGTTTTTTAATATTTCATATCAATTCCCAATTTGCAGCTTAAAATCAAAGATTAGTGTCTATCTACTCAGAACAGATCACATTCCTGTAAAACTTAAATATACTTTTAACAAAACAAAGAGTACATGAATTAGTAATTTATTAGTTTAACAAAACAAAAATTACATGAATTGGTAATTTATTACATAATATACTAAGAAATAGAAGGATGTCTTTCAAAGACTGTGTTCAAGTAATGCCTAGTGAGGGCTCAGATATGGAGGGTTCAAGTGCTGTCTAAATATCGAAAGTTTAAAGCTATCCAGAAACAGCGACTTCTTTCACCGAGCTGCATGCATCTCTGGTTGACATACTGCATCGCCGCTGCGCCCCGGAAGGAAGCTCTTGACAGGCCACTTGCTCCGTCGGAGCCTCTTTCTTGTTTCAGGAACGGGACATTACATGCGACTAATCGACAGAAACTGACAGACAGGAAGCGGCCTTCGGCAATTCAAGGATGAAAAGGAAAAAGCCGTCCCATTCGACATGCTACTTGTATCGAGTGTTCAGAACTCCTGTTAAAAGTGAAACTGAAAAACCTTGCCTCGTAATTTATAAACCGCGCGACTATTTAAAAAATGTATCTTTAAAAAAAAATGCGCATGTGTAACAATTATAATAGATAGACAATAAGTACATGATAATAAATAACTATTATTTATGTACGTATAAATGCTTTTCATTTTAGAGCGATAATAAAATAGGTCAGATCAATAATGTCTGTGGAGTAAGTATATCGGCACGTAGGAAGACCGATTCGATTTGAAACGGTTGTGGTTAAAACGTTTAGAAGTTGACGGTAACGCGCAGGAGAACCAGTCCGGCAGTTCATGAATACATTATCCTTTCTAACGAGGTGAATAGGTGAAGTAGACGGAGTCGCGACAGTCCATCCATAAATCACTCCAAGGGTAACCGAGATCACCCTCGAGATCCGAGGCGGGGTACACCTATACCATATTATACCATACACAGCTTTAACACTTTCACATGGGTTTCCGTTTCCGGCGGTTCTTCCTCCGCGGCTGCTAGAAAGTGCTCCATCATGACTTGAATTGTCGAATTTCAACGCTTTTAGTACATGCGAGTTTCTTCAAAACGTACAAACAGGCTTCTTTCTAAATGAAATCATTTAAAATTCATTGTCATCGAATTTAATGAAACTAGAATAATTCATTTTATAGTAACTGAAAATAGATAGTAAATTGTTTTAATTAATTTCAAAATAATTACGTATAGGAAATATCTAATTTAATATCGTTTCCAATTAAATTTCATTGAACGAAATTGTGTTATTAATTTATTTTTAGTTGAACTGTATTTTGTTCGATTCATGGTGAGAAATGTTGAATAAATGCAGACACGTGTACTGTTAAGAAATAAGTTCTGATATATTTCGTTCCGAATAGGGTATCAAACAGTGTCATGTAATGTAGAACAACAGTAATAGAATTAACAAATGGACAAGGGCCTCCGTGGCACAAGAAGAAATAATAGAAAATTGTACAGAATTTCGCTTTCAATACAAGTTAATTATTACGCACCTAAAGCTAGAATTTCCACATGTGCAACGTCAGTCGAAATGTTTGAATAATAAAAATTCGTCACCACGACTTACTTTGCACATCCTGGAACCTAGATTGACAAATAGTAAAAATTGTCTTCGATTGAACTTCGACATTCGAAATGCCTCCGTCTATTAGAATAATAATAGTGACGTAGTAACATTGACAGTGATAATAATTATCTTATATGTAAACGTACACATGTACACATATATAATATATTTCGTGTAGAAGAAAATAAATCTATTTAGAACTAAATATATCTCGCAATACGTTTGTTTCTCTTCGGTACATAACGACGTCACACGCGAACCCGCAACGGTACTAAAAATTACGTACTGTCGATCGATTACTAAACACCTTTGGTTGCACAAAAATATAGACGCAATCATTCGCCAGTTAGATGATCGATTTGTTAAATCTGCACGCGTCTATTGTCACTAGACCACGGATGTTTATGGATAATATTTATAATGTTGGAAAATATTCAAACGTGTATTCGCTATAATGCAATGTGTTAAGTATGCCAAGAAAAGGTACAAATTAATAAACAGTATGTGAGGTAGTTTATGAGAATACTGGAAACGCTGTGATATTGCGATGCATATTACTATAATTAGGAATTCATTCGCAGAAAATTATATGCACTTCTCTATGTATCGTATCGTAAAACATACATGATATAAAAAATAAGAAAATATATATAATTTTTTGGTGAGCCAGTTTTTGCATAAACATTCGCAGTCTAATTACTATTCATGGAGATTGTTATTGTTAGTCCTTCTCGTCTATTTAGATTTGTCATCTACACACCGCGCTATGAACAAATGTACAGTAGTTACAGTGAAGATTAGAGACTTGAATATTTAATTCATGAACACTACACACAGACTCGTTTAAGTTACGTTTGCATTAACGGAGGATATTGTACAGTAGGAACGTCGCGATCAGACGATTATTTTATCATTGAATTTTTTTCGAATTATGCATTCCTATTTTTTCGGGAACAAACGTGAAACGTAGTACAATATATATATATATTGAAATTGAATGAATAATAATCGGTCGGTCCAAGTAACTAAAATATGTATCCGCGATCGCGTATATCATCAATAAATTCTAGAATCACGCACACGCATTAATTCTCTGTGGCGGAAACGCAGAGTATTAATACAGCGGGCAATCAAATTTCTATGATCATTTCGAAGTCACTCTATTCACAATTAATTGAGACTCGGATGACTGTTGAAATCAGAGTTGAAGATCTATTTAAAGAACGACCAATTCTATTGATTAAAAATATTATATACGCCAATAAATAATCCGCATTCTTTATTATTTAATCCACATTCTTATTCTTCTCATATACCTACATCGATAATTTTCCAGCCGATCATCGTAAGTTCATACGATCCACTGTACTGTAGGGTATACTCGCACACATGATACTTTTCTCACTCGGAAATCACAGTTGAACATTGGTTTTTCGACGTAACGCGTGGCACTCGTTTGTTTTCCGCTTTTTCAAAATTAAGCGACACGTCGGACCGCAGCGAACGGGCCGGTACGGAGGTAAACAGTAAATACGTATTTATTGATTTGGCGTACGCGCGCGTATATGTACAGATTCGGAAATGATTTTTCCATCGCAATTTACGTGGTTCCCACGCTGGAAATGAAAAACTTGTCGATTGCGAATACGGAGATTAAAAACAGGTTGAATAACAAATTTAAATTCGATGTAGACATAATAAAAAGACTTATTCTTTTATATAAGGTGAATCAATGGAAATTGTAATTATTTTATACTAATTCTTAGTACGAAATTTTACATTTTTAGTGGACACGTACAGTAGCCCGTTAATCGCGCGTCGTAAGTTCATTAATAATTGTGTAGCGAACATTTATAACTGGTTATTTCAGGCACACCTCAATTATTTTCAGATTTGCTCCCGTTCACCACACGTTCTCCTCCTTATTTTCGCACAAAAATCACAGTTAAACGATTGGTACACTATAATAATCGTAGCTCATTTTACAATGCTTCCTAACGAAGACCTGACGCGTCGTGCAAAGATCAATCGCCGTCTTTTTCCCTCTCAACGATGACACGAACTCCTCATAAAAGTAACCATTTATATTACAGTATATTTTCCGATCATACGTTGACCCGTTTAAATTTAAATAAATTACATGGTAACGGATATTTAACAACAAAAACAGTAAGAGATAGGAAGATGCGTAGGACACTGAAAACACAAAGCTGATGAAGGAAAATTTAACGTAAAAATCAGAACAGTAAAATGAATTAGTTGACCCGTTAAGACTCAGCACTCATGTTTGCAATTTTTGCTGCGTTGATAAAATCCATTACAATTGCTGAATTATATTTATATTACGTTCATAACATTCGTTTCTATTTAGAAACTTCGTTTAAAACTAAAGGGTAAAGATTGTTTCCTTTAAATCCTGGCATCGTATGTATGAAGAATCTTGTTACACACATATAAAAATTGCCTTACCTCGTTTCCTGGACCTTAACACATTAAAGAAACGGTGAAATCAAGGTAGCTCGCACAATTGTATTTAAACTTCTCGTACGAAACGCCCGCGTTGCACTCGCAAGGATCACAGTTAAACAGTTGATATATTCTCATCGCGTGTTAGAGTCAATTCGGTTCGTAATTAGAAACTCATTGCGGCAGACCGGACGCGGCGCCAAGGCGAGGTGCGCCGTAGAGCGAATACGGTGAGAAATACGGTGGTAATCCGGCGGGCGCGTGTGGATGCGGAGGTGGCAGCGGTAAACCCAACGACGATAAAGACGGCTGCAACAAGGGGGAAGGTTTCCCGTAAGGGTGATAACGGGCGGTCGCTAGCGGGCTTAAAGGCGGCGTGGGATAAGTCCTGGCGAACAAAGGATGCGTCGGTGGCAGACCGACAGGAGGCGAGAGTAACGACAACGCGGCGGATGACGGGTCCGTGGGTCCAGTGCTACTGGTATGGCTTCTAAGATGCTGCAGCAGTTCGTCCGAGGAGGAGAACCTTTTGCCGCAGTACGCGGTGTCGCTCGCGATCCAGTTGCAGACGTAGGGGAGCTGGGAGGCCGCCGCCAGAGCCGCGAGTTGTGCGTGAGCGTATGCGGCAACCCCCAGCGCGCCGTAACCCTGCGTGCCGGGCTTGTGATCGCACTGGGCGCATCCGGCGGGACAAGGACTCGTCCCATTGCTAGCTAATTTTCCATTGACCGCGGAACTGGCGAAGAGGTGAGAGTTCAATTGGCAGCCGGTGCAGTACGGGTCTCTGCAGACGGCCATCAGAGTATCGGCACCGGAGGAACTTTTCAGCCTGGCGTAACTGAGATACGGATTACCAGAAACCAGACCGTTCTTCAACGCTGCTTGCTGCTGAGACATTAGGGAACTGGCCATTACGTCGATGGGTAACTGCGGGCTGTAGCCCAAATAGCCGGAGCTGGTCGAGGCTAAACTGACACCCGGCTTGAAAGTTCCCAACGGGAGATCCTTGATGGACGGATCCGTCATCGCTAAAACACCGGCTGGGCTGTAGGAGGGCTTCGCTGCTAACGAAGGACTGCTGACGACGGCCGGTTGAGACGACTCGAGCTGACTCGATGAAAGATTCGCCGTCGATACCCTCGAAGCGGGCGACTCCCGGGCGACGTCGCCGTTAGGCGTCGCGGTCTTCCGACCCTGCGGCGTCACCGCCCGAACCGACGAGCTGCTCTGATTACTCGGGCATCGTTTATTACCGCTACCGGGTGTCCTCGATCGGCCGCACGCGGAGTGACTAGAGGCCGATCGTTGCTCGTCCGGTGTCGACGCTTTTTCACGTCCTAGACACGATTCGTACGGCTTGAAGTTGGTCCTGTTCGACTCCCCGGCGGTCGTGGTCGACGTTGTCACCGTCGGCGACGATTTTTCCCGCGACTGTTCCGCCGACTTGGACGATTTGTTGCTCGAACTTTTGTCCAACGAGCCTAACAGAGATTTATTGGACGGCGAGTCGGCACCTATTTGGCTGCACGTTTGCGCGAGGAGGGCCAATGGACTTTTCTTCGCGTCCAACTGCAAAATTAAACAGATTTATACAAATTTAGCAATGCGGAAGAATTTTAAAATACGTGCACGTTGAAAGCTTACTAATAAATACAACAATGTAGATGTTTTAACATGCAAAATCGTAAACTTAATCAGGAAATTTTCCACGTAAATCTAAAATATAGGAACACGTTTTTATGCAAATCCTTATTACAAACTCATACGACTTTAAAGGCTCTTAAGTGGTATGCTAATGAAATACATTATTCCAAACCCAGCCGTTTAATAACCACAATATGCAGATACAATATTAAAATTCATTACGGAAAAATGGAATCCGATGAAAAAAGAAGATTCATTGAATCGTTAAATCAAACATTTACGGAATCAGTGACGAGGTGACGAGGTATCCGGTCGCAGATACACATCGATTTTCTGTAGCCACTGTACATTTTCGAGGAACGTTTACGACGATCAAGTCGTTAAAAGTGTACAGGGAATGAAAATAGCTGTTTAACGAAGGATCGCAGCCAATTAATAAGCAGTTCTCGACGTGGACGTAATTAGTGGAAGAACGGGCAAGAGAATTTAGTATCGGACGAGTGTTCGGCTCGAACTTCGAAGGCAGGTAGCTACGCTCATAGGATGATGCGGTCGGTATAATTAGCGTGGAGAGGAGAGACTATAACGTGGGGACGATATTTTTCGCGGTTGACACCGTCCGTCGAACAGATGTTCGTCGTAATTAAAACACAACGTTCAACGCGCGATCAACTCCCGTCGTTTACGGTTGCCCCTGCTAATGGCGCGATGTCGACAGATATTATTAATATCATGAATTGTGGCAACTTATTAGGGTTACAATCCCACCGGGTGATCAAATTATTATCAATTATTATTATTTCAAGTTGTTAGTGGTTCGATGTTCGATCAACAATTGAATTTAAAATACGTCCAACTTTATTCTTTTAAATCTGATTATAACTTTATTTAATTATTAAATTATTTAAATTCCATTAGAATTGTTGAATTTTTTAAATACTAAGGATCTTTTATAGTCCTTAATATTCAGAGTCCAGAATTTTTCTATCATTTTAGAAAATCTGATCCAGTTAAACTGATCAACCATTCGTTGTCTTAGTTTCATAAAAATCTATAAACAATTTTTCGATCTCTTTACCTGTGTAACATCGCGGTGCCAATTACTTGTTGCTTACGATAGCAATTGAAATTAGATACGCATGCTCTTTACCACTGAATCGTGTGACCGCACCATATTACAAATTAACCGTTTGCATTCAAATTCGTTGATAACAGTATCGAATACTGTTAATTTTATTGGTAATACGTGTACATGTGACTTGAACAAATGAAAGAGGTTTTAGAAATAATCTTATTGTCTATCGAATCAATGAAAACTTTTAGAAATGGTCCAATGATAAAAGAATAAGAAATTCTTTAAAACTTGCTCATAAAGATTGAATTTTGCATAAACATCTATCGTCTATTTATTATGCTATGCATTTTTCTCAGTTTCTGCTTCTGTGTTTCACGGTAACTTTTTAATCTGATAAAAAACAGTTTTCTAAGAAGTTAATCATTGTGTTACGAGAATGCTTGCATCGTAATCACGTCTTTTTATTTACGGGCGCGCGCGAATCAATGAGAACGTTCGAGCGGAAACCTCGACGGGGTTTGCCATCCTCAAAATAGTTTACACACAGGAGGAGCCGAAGTGTAAGGAGAGACGAAAATGCGCGCGTTCCTGTTCGCGATTAACGCGACGTCGACAGCCAGAATTGATGGCCTCGTTGAATCCTCGTGCCGCGTTACCCATTTTATATCGACTTAAATCGTGGAAGCTTTAACGGGTATCGTATCACTGCCACCGCCTCGCCAAATCATTCCCCCCGGCGCGTGTGTAATCGGTTTCAACGCGCCGTATGACCATTTGATTTACAACCGATAAATTTTAACGATTTCAACGTTCGCTCGTCTGCCCGCGCTAACATTTTGCAACGCTTCTACTTCAACCGAAGAACCGTCCACTTCTTATACTTATCCTGTAAACCGATGACTCTGAGCTGTTTATATTGCGTAAACTTTTAGACGCATGCAGTAAAATACAAAAGTAACTTTTTAATGACTTAGCCGGTCGCTCTTTCCTTCTCCAGGCTATAATTAATACGCGTCACATAAACTTTCGAAAATTCAAATAAATGGTAAAATAAAAATACAGAATGATCTGTGCAAAGTTGTTAAAAAAATAATCAATTTACTTGCAGAGAAAATGTATGACTAAACGTTGCTGTTGTTACTGCCGCTGTTTGTCGTTCTTTATACACAAATAGAAAGATACAACAGTTCCACAGGAACAAATCTGTGAGTCACTATATATTTTTAGGAGTAAATTTCAACAATGTTTGAAATAAAATGTAAGACAAACTATTGCCGAGTTTAACACGGCTGGCATGCAATTTGTACGCGTTCGAATAAGCATCTGTGTCCTGGACGTACATAATTTAAGCTGTCACCGTGGAACAAAAAAAAGAAAAAGAAAAAGGGAGGAAGCAGAGGAAATAGAAAAACACGAGACACTAACCGTGGTCGGCAGAGGCGTGAGGTATTCCGGACGGAGGTACTGATTCGCACTGGAAGTCAACATTTTCAAAACTCTTCGCCCCCGTTTTTTTTTTTTGTCCGCGAGTTGATCCTCTTGGTTAACACTCACGAGAATCCACGGCGGATCGAATCTCTTGACACACACTATTTATATTATACGTCTTCCTTTTTTATATCCGTTGCGAGACGGTGACGAAAGCGCACATAAACGAAGCCATTTGGCTTCCAACGCGGCGGTGTTCCGCAGCTCGTGCACAATTCGTATATCCTCTTGCTCTATCGCACGAGAGACGACACAACCACAATACACAAAGGCATCGAGGTGAACGGGATGAAATGGATACGAACACACGCAACACGGTTTACTTTACACAACGTTCACCCAGTCACAACCGAGTATGAATAGCGACTGACGAACCTCGCTCTTCTGCTCGCAATCAGTGCTCCCTCGACGGGCCGACGGATCTCCCTTCTCTTCGTCCTGTTTCCCCTTCTACTTCCGTCTATCGATGACGTTGACCGTCCAGCTGACCTACCCCGCCGCGCCATGCTCTTTCGGGGAAGCTCACCCCCTGCGTTCCGTCGGTACACATTGAACTCTGACTTACCCCTCTCCATCAGGGATCGTATAATTTATCCCACACGGCTCGCTTCCCCCCTTTTTCGCCCGTATTTCGAGCCCCACTACTATTCTCCTCATGCGCCTTCGCTGACCATGCCTAGCATATCCCCATCAAGTACCAGTCCCCACTATAGTCGCGTCGTCCCCACTTCCGGGCCGAGGGACAAATTATACGATCCCTGCTCTCCATTCATATTTTTTAACAAAGAAAAATTTAGACTGACACAGCAAGTTTGTCCTGAATGTTAGAAATGTTCACTTCTCTGTTCGGTTTGAATTTCGAACTATTTAGATATTCGGATATGCTAACAGCACTACTGAACACTGAACCTGCTTCTGCAGAGAACTAAAGACGAGAGAAACACATTTTGTGCCATTGTTCTTCGTCAAAGAGATTGAACCTTCGTGATGAATTCTTTAATTTTTACATTTTATTACCACTGGAAAATCCAATGGCTCTATTCGAAGTCATTTAGCTGTTCCGATGTACGCTGTCAAAGAGTTAAAGATGGAAGAGCTTTGCCACTCACTAACAGGTACAATAAATAGAATAATGAGGGTACACGGAATAGGAAGGCCAGCCAATGCGAACGAAAGAGACGATGTTGTCACAGTGTAGGAGGCGGAGGTGGCGATCTTGGTGATGGTAATGTCGCCGTCCTCGACACGGTGGTCATTGTCGGTTCACGCCACGTCGCTGACCCTTTTGTAACACTGCGTGCGTCTGCATTTTGACCAACGACGCGACGACCTCTTCCACGACTTCCAATGCTGCATAGAAACGAATTTACTTTTAGACGTCTATAATTATGCATTTATAGCGAATTGTGTCATGTGAACTGGTCAGTTCATATTGGAATAGTGAATGTCAGCAGACTATTTTTACATAATTTAAAATGATGAGGAATCTACGGATTTGCATGTTTCCTTGACCCTGTTTGTATATGTTCATTAGTTTTTACATTAAACATACATTTCTGAAATGAGTAACATGTATATAGATGCGTTTGGAAAATTGTTTGCAATTCATGGTGATTGAAATTACGATGACAATGTTTAAAAATAATAGTTCCTATCATTATACTGCAGTTTTAATAAACCATAGATACATATTCTTTGCATATTTCGTTCGACGTATATATGCATTGTATGTATGTATGTATATGTTCGTACCGTATATTCTCATATTTTACATTTTTCATTTGCATACTTCAGCATATTATTAAAACTGCATAATCCACAATGTAGTTACTACACATTGTAACATGGATACATAAGTAGGGTAAGAACTCACAAATAAACCATTTCGCTCCTTCACGTTAATCCGGAAATACACTTAAGGTCGAATGGAAGGATTAATAACCCTCATAATAAAATTTTATTTCTCAGATAAAAGGAATAGATAAATGGATAGATAAAAGGAATGGAACCATCATAGAAAGTCTGTAGTTCCTTCCACAATAGTAAACTCCGAATCTGTATGCTAAATGGCTGAACAAATACTTATGATTGAGTCTTGAGTGAAAGGTGAAACGAGAAATTAAACAACAATGAGAACCATAAACCTTTGTCCCTTAGCAATACGCATTTTCATGTTAATTTTATACGTATCTGGCGATCGTAAACTTTTATTGGTCTTACTTTTAATATCACGAACTTTGCTTAACTGCTATTGTTCGGACTCACCATTTCTTTGTTCAATATATGAAACGAGTATAACATTTATATTTTGAATTTATTCATTCTTATATTGTATGAATTTAATTAATTTCAGATACTAATATTTTTATCAAAACGTTATCATATAATAATTTAATCATTCCAACAATCTCATGTGGGGAACAATATACTCAATGTAATCCAGCGAAATTATAAGAGGAATAATAAACTCGGCGCTCGGAACACAATCGCGTTCTGATTATGTGATTACGAACAATCTCATTAAGAAATTTAAAGCGCACACGTATTTCTCTGAAACAATCACGTTGTGTTACAGAACGAACGTCAGACTGGGCGGCAGACAATATTCGAAATTAGACCATGAGTGTCACAAGTGACTGGCTTACGTGAAAAATGCACGTAGCATTTGATACTCACTAACGGGAGATCGTGTGCAGGCCAGTTTCAGGGTAAATTCACCGTGGATAATGTTTTAAATGCATACGTAACGTCGGTCAGGATCGAACGCATATTGTAGCGATTAATGAATTCGGGTGAAATAGATTGAGGCGGTAATGGCGGTGGTATACGTATATGTTCACAGACGCGACTCGCACCGCGCCGCATCGAAATGCATATCAATTGTTTCATGGAAATTCGAGTGTTGCTTCCCTCCATTACTATTCACAGAATTATATGATCGTACCACGGTCACCTGGTGTACACTTACATCCGTCCATACATGTATGCGCAATGAATACGAGTCGATTTACATAATTCGTATCGATCATGGAATTGTACATTATTAGAGAGTCGATTTGCTCTGTTAGCGCGAACATGATTTATCAACTTTTTCATGAACGTCAGTTATTCCCAACAGCATTGGATATTTCTGACCTTTTTTTAATACCAGTTACAGGAAATGTATTGAGGACAGTATCATGGCCTTCTGTATGTATATTTGATTTTAATATGTATTTAATGCAAAAAGAGTAAAATTTATAATTAAATTCTCTACAGTTGAAGTATAATGAGTGTAGAAATGTGTGCATACAATAGATATCATTCTTGATGCGCCCAGCCAGAGTAAAATAGGCAATGAACCTTCGGCAAGTAGGTGAACTTATTAATATTATCTAGAAATGCTCGTAATGTTCGTCAAGTAGAATGCCGACACTTATTAAGTATACCGTGCAGTTAAATTCCGTAATTACGTACATTGTGTATGGAGGAAATGCACAAGCGGAGTTATCTACGCATGAAAATGAATGACAGGATGAACGTCTACGATATAATATAAAAATCCAGAATTCTAATTAATTAATGCGAAATTCAATAAAGAAGAAATAGGTAAATGAAATTGTGAGTGAATGAGTCACATTTAATTATTGAAGGACGAAGAATATAATATATTGAGACCCAACACTTGTGGAAAAAAATGTACATTAAATTCGAGAATAAAAAATGATGAACTCTCTCGAAAATTGCAATTTTTTCATTTTTGTCACACCAATGGTGATTTTACAGTGACAAATTAAAATGAAACACATTTCATGTACGACAGTTGTATAGATACGTATACGAGCGAAGAGAGGGGAAACAAGGCGACTGCTTGAGGATTACAAATTATCCATCAGTCGTGGAAAGACAGGCGTTAAATATATGGAGGAACTAAGAACGTCTGACTGCTGTCATGAAAGATGTGTACACGCCCGTTCATAAATTTTTGAAAAACTTTGCACAAGGTAATTCGCGTGCATTTAAACTTTGAAGAGATCGATCAAATACTCTGCTCCTAAATGCTCCAATGAAATTATAATAGACGATCCACATCTTTCATTTTAGCAAACATTCTAGGAAAATTGAAGTACTCAGTCAATGAAATGAACATTGAAAATTCTTTCCGGAGCCTTTAATCGTTTTTAATTCTCAAAGATACACAAGTCCTGTAAAAGGCTGATTCCTTTATTAAATGTCAGTCGGAACAGCCTCTTATGGGTAATTAAAGTATTTTTGTCGTGTGCCTTGACAGTGAATAAACGTTGCATTGAGAGCATGAAAGTGTTCCAAGATTTGTACGAAGTAAGTCGAGTGTGTACGTGAAAGAGTGTCGAGGGGTATCTTGAGCTGCGCGTCGGTGGTAGTCAAGCGGTACGCAGTCGGCGCCACATAAACGTGTTGTCCTCGTCCGCGATAGACGGAAGGGGAGGAGAGAAAGAGAGAAGATCCGGATAATTATACAGCGCTCTCATCTCTCACCAAAGCGTATCCTCTAACTAGCGCTAATAACGCCGCTAATGCTCTTCCGTGGAAACTGCTCGTATTTAACAACCACTCTGCTATCTCCTCCGGCGCACCAAGATGGGATGAGAATAGTACCGTGCCAGTTTATAACTCGGTTTTTTCTCATTCGCCTCGGACGAAAACGCGATCCAAAACCCACAGGATCTGTTGAGTTAATCTTAAGCTTTCCGCAATCCTTCTAATCTATTTTCACTTCTATTCTTACGTTCTCAAAGTACTATTGTACGAAATATTTATATACACATCATATTTTTATGTACACGCATTGACTGTAATTTAAATAATTTTGTGACTAAGGAAATTTGAAAACTGAAGTACAGTTTAATATGACAAATCTAAATATCAGTCACAATTAAATATTGTAAAGCAAAACAGGCGAGTATGAGATTAATTTTAATTACATTTTCTTTTAGATTGCAGGATAATTAAGCTGGTAATAATATGTATGTATCGCGATTTATAAACGACGCATATAACCCAATTAGATACCTGATCAACGGGTAATTACGTGTTGAGCGATCCACGCAAGTGTTCATAATATTGCATCAACAGGATGCGCGTACTTACTCACTGAATTATAGTCTAACGGATACAATACAATGATAGATGATTTATGTTAATACCGTCTATAAATCAAAGCCATTGCGTTATGCAGGTGTGGAATAAAACGCGCAGCACGACGTGTATATGCATTTACGATTGTTAGCAGGCACTTGTGCATAAATATTGACAGCGCGCGAGTCGAAGCGGGCGAAGGAAATATTGTGGCAAAAGTCTTGTTGAACCAGCGAAATAAAAGTTTTCCTAATGATTATGTACCTATCATAAATTTATATCTCTTAAGTTTCTCAGAATCAAATGTTATGAGAA